ATTTAAACTGTACTATTTCAGTACACATAGATAAAAGATAAGGACTTAACCATAGGGGCTGGAGAGATGGCTTAGCGGTTAAGAATACTGTTCTTGCAGAAGACCCGGGTTCGAATCCCAACATCCATACGACAGCTAACAGCTGTCTGTAACTCCAGTTCCAGGGGATCTGATAGCTTCTTCTGTCCTCTGCGGGCACTGCACGACACAGGTACACTTACCTACATGCAGGCAATACACACATACACATAAAATAAAAATAATAAATAAAAAACATAACCAGAAAGCAAGATTTTTAAAAATCTTCTTTACTTTCATCAAATCTCTTGGTAGTGTTCAAAGTTCCCTAATCATCCAATTTTAAAATATTTCTTTGCAAATCAAGATGCAAGTAGGTCTCACAGAATACCCTGTCTCTTGCCCCTCAGAAGGCCCAGGCGCTAGGAGAGACAAGGCCCCTGGAGTTTAGAGAAGTCAAAGTGACTGAAAGTCAGAGTAGAAGACTCTGGCTCTGAGCTTCTTTGAAGATCATTTCTGTTTCAGAGTCAAAAAAATTAGAGCTCTGCCAGACCAGAGCAATTTTTTTAAAAAAGGAAGATCATCGACTACTGGGTAAGAAGTAGGAATTATAAATATCCTGCTAAAATGGACATAAAAGGATCCTAAGATAGAAATGAGAACCACTAAAGGGAGTGGATGGCTTGATCATCCTGTGTCTTGTCCACAGGGCTTGGAATAAGTTGAATTGGTAATTGATTTGAGCTGTTGACCATATTTTGAACCTTATAGACGGTGTGTGTGTATGAAAGTGGCCAATACAGTAGTTGGTATATGATAAACAAAGACAGTTTTCCCATCTTCTCCAAAAGCTAGGACTGATTATTTCTGTGCTGCACAAGAACCTCAAGCAGCTGCTTATCTTCAAAAGTGAAAGCTGCCTTTGTAAACAGCAAACTTCATTCTTAATCATAACTATGATGGTTATCATTGTTGATGGCTTAAAAGGGCCAGGTCATGTGTCTACTGGGGTACACAGAAGATGACAGATGGTTATTTGTTGAATGACTGAACAATACCAAGTGCTTTACATTTAAACTTCACATGGCATCACTTTGACATGGACTTTATTATCTCTGTTTTACAAAATTATGGTGAGAATGAGACCATCATATGAACTCTTAATCTGTTTTAGTGATATATATACATATATATATATATTAATATCCCACTAACCAACATAACAGCACTGTGAAATAGGTACTATTATCCCCATCAGGCACAGGCAGAGTTTAAGTAACTCGCCTAAAAACAGAGTCTGTGGTTATTAGACTTGATTCAACCCACTCCTTCCTCAAACTGGGAATTCAACCTAGGTCCTCATGTACTGGCTATGTAGGCACTCCATCACTGAGTTATATCTTAAGTCCCTTTAAAAAAAGATATTTCATTTGTTTAGAGGGAAATGTATTTTTTCAAAAGCCTACTGAAAATTACATGTACAATATACATATGAGTGCATGTGACTATAGCTGAAGGCTACACAACAAAAAACCCACAGTGCCAGGCAGGGGAAATCTCCCTTGGAGTTGTTGGGAGGGTAGACTAAGAGGCTCTCAAAATAATACACATTATTGCTACAACCCTTGATTGCCTCCAGAACTTGAAGATAAGACCCTATGGCTGAAAACAGGGCATATTTTGGACACAGAATTTAGAGTAATCTAATAGAAATGGTCTGGAAGCCTGCTCCCTGAAGACTGGCTCCCACAGTATCAGAAGACAGTATGCAAACTACCAAGGGAGAAAAACCAATCAATGATCTCATTCAGCTGTAAGGTTTATGAACCACAACAATGAATGGCCCAGCAAACAATCTCTACTGGAGGAGTAGTGGCACTTTTATCTTGGGGTAAACAACAGCTGTCTAATTGGATTTAAGAACCTGTTCGATGGGAGGGAACTCATGTGTGGTACTGTAAACAAAGCCAAATACCCATGGCTGGAGGGAGGTCATGCATCCTAGAGAAAAACCTACTTTTGTCACCAACATAATTTCTTACTGTAGACTAATATGTATCTAAGGCTACCTCTCATCACTCATCAAAGAAGCTTCTTTATATAACAGATGGAGACTATCATGAAGTTCCACAACTAGACAAACTTAGAGAATAAGTGTCTGTAAGGTATCTTGCCCTAAGTGACATCTACAATGCAACTTCTACACCTAAGGCTCAGGGAACCTAGTGGAACAGAGAGCAGAAAGAATATTAATGCATCTCGAAACTCTCACCAGCAAAGCTTCCTCTTGCAAAAAGGTGGTAATTCAGAAATTCACAACTGGCCCAAGCAAAGAGAATAAGAGACTGCAGAGTGATTATTCCTAAATAGGACTCCTATATCAAATCTCTCCTCAGGGACCATTGCAGAAGAGGGGCAGAAAGATGGTAAGACCACAGGTAGTTGATGCCCAAAAGGAAACAGTTTTCCAGACACCTGGGAAGTTATTCAAATAAACTCACAGTAATGATAACAGCATGCACAGGACCCATGTAAGCACAAGCCAGACTAAAGTCCAGCATTGAAGTGGGGATATGGGGAAGAAGTCTCAACTAGCTGAGTTGCTTCTAGCAACAGGTAACTACTGGGAGAGGGAGTGTTGGTTTTCCTTAAGTATGTGACATTAGATATGTTAACCAGGCTCCAGTGGATGGACACACACCAAAGAACATTTGACTCAATAGGCCTTAATATATATGACAGAGTACATGAAATCTGGCTGGGGGTGAAATGTGAGGGGTGAGATGGGTGTGTGTGTAAATAGGATCAAAATAACTTGTATGAAATTTGTAAAAATTCAATAAAATATACTACATTTAAAAATATTTACTTTTATGTGTATGATCATATTGCCTGCATGTATGTATGTGCACCTATGTCATTCAATGCCCCTGGAGCTCAGCGGAGGGCTTCAGATCCCCTGGAACTGGAGTTAAGGATGGTTGTGAGCTGCCATGTGGGTGCTGGGAACCTAACTTGGTACTATGCAAGAGCAGTCAGCACTCTTAATCACTGAGCCATCTCTCCAGCCTCTAAGTTTTTAGAGACAGTGTTTTTCTAAGTTAACCATGCAGGTCTTGGACTTGTAATCCTCCTGCCTCAGCCTCCTCATCAGCTGGGATTACAGGCCTGGAGGTAGCTGGAGCAGCAACCTTGGTTCCCTTAGAGGTCGCATTAACCCCAGAAGGCAGTAAGTGAGAAGCATTGCACAGAACTACCTGGGGAGGTCAGGAACTTGGGAGTGCTTGGGATTCAGTCCCCCAGGCCATCATGTGTATAGGCTGATTTTGTAGATAACAGAAGAGATAATAGAATTTGCAGAGGCAAGGGTTCCTAGCCCTCTGGCCAGAGAGATCCTAGGCTTCAGCCCTCAACCCTAGAAGGTTTCGGTGCAAAAGTCTGAGATTAAGGTCTGAGATTAAGGCATACATTGCCCTCTATCAATGCAAACGTGACAGCTGCCTATCCAACAACCTTTCCGCCTCCGTTCGGCAGAGTTCGTGCCACACAGGCATCGCCTGCGCTATAGTTATGCAACCACACTCGCAGCGGGAGTTATTTCCTGTGCTGCTAGATGCGCCAGATTCATGTAATACGCCTACCCCGGGCTTCAATGGAAGTCGTTCTCCATTAACAAACACTCAGGCTTTCGGAGATGAATGCCCGGCATAGCAAACCTTCTGCGCACTAAGAATCGCGTTGAGAGGCATTAAAAGCCAACTCTCTCTCTCTCTCCCTCTCTCTCTGCACACACACACAACCACACCACACACCCTCCCTTGTGCAAGCAGCTAAGGGACTGCAGCAATGCAACCAGAGGGACAGCAGGAGGAGCTCTCTTTGCAGTCCCTGCCTGGAACCCCCCACTAACTAAAGATGAACTCATGCCAGTTCCATTCTTTGCAAGGACAACACAACATACACACACCCGAGCGCGCGCGCGCACTGCACAGAACAGAGTGGGCTCCAGATCTCCTCCCTGAACACACAATCTGTCGCCTGTTCGTCCAGGCAACCCGGCTCTTCCACGCGAAGTAACGGGGAGTTTCGTCGCAACAATGCAATCTCCGGAGCAGCTCCGCTTGAAGCTCGCACCCCCGCCCCCTTTCGCGGCGTGCCAAGAGTTTGGAGCGCGCGCACGCACACGAGCGCGGTGCGGCAGTGTATCCCTCCGCCTCGCTCCTCGCCCCGCTCCCGCGGCCCCACGATTTGGGAAACGAGGGGAGGAGGAGGAGGAGGAGGAGGAGGGAACTACTTTCCTGAAACTTGCTATGCTGCCCACGATCGCCACTTGCAGTGATTCGTCCGGGGGCCACCGCTCTTAGGCCTCCTCCTCCCCGCACCCCTGCATCTCCACCTCCCCGTCCCGGCAGCAGGCTCACATCCGCACCCCAGCGGCCCCTCGGCTCCCGCGGGAAGCCGGCGGCCGGGGAGAAGTCGCCAGGGACTACTTCGCCTCTCTCTCCCGCGGGCGCCCCCGCTTCGGGCGGCGGCGGCGGAAGGAGCAGGCGGCGTGAGCGCTTCCGCCGCCCCCCTGGCTCCCCTCTGGCGGGCGTGAGGTCCTGGCCCAGGGAGCTGCTGCCGGGCTGCCCTCTTCATCCTCGCCGCCGCTCGGGACAGTGCGCTCGGGCTCCGGCCCTGCCCCGCTGCACAGCGTCCGGAGGAATCCGTCGCCGCGGGGTTCCTGAGCCGGATCCGAGGCGGGCGG